AATACGGAGTAAGAATAAATGGGGTAATTAATGAGGTGTGATATCTATCTATAGATAATACATTTGAAAGATACAATTATGAAAAGTTTTGTCATATGTCATCTTCTAATCAAACATTCATTATAATAATTTTTATTCTCTTTCTAATTTAGAATATTAGTTATCCGTAAGTCTGTATTAATTATACGTAGAAGTTAAGTTATGTTAAAATTCAATCATAGACTGTACAGTTAGTTTAGGACTAATAAGTTAGAAGTTAAGTTAGACTAAAATTTATCAATTCACGTCACGTACATTAGTTTAGGAATAATTCATCAATCCATGAATTCTATGTCATCTTTTTATCAATTCATGTTCCTAATTATTTTTTGTACAAAAATTTAACTTCATAAAGTTAGAATAATAGACTTATATTACGTAATTCCAAAAAAAATATATACAATTATAAATTATGAGAATTTTGTTGTATTCTATTATAATCCATCAACGTTCTATACATTATTCATGTAAAATTTTCTTGGTATCTATGAATCATACGGAGTATCAAACATTTATCATATCAGACTAGATCAGATCATATTAAATAAAATCATGCTTGAAAATTCCAGTTCAGTTAAAAACATTTTTAAAGGAGTCCTCCCTAAAATTTAGAACTTCATATTACATTAAAATTTATCTCCCGAGACATTCTACTCTTTTTTTTTATGATATAATACTAATGAGTGTAATAAATACGTACGGAGTATGTTTTTAATTGGATTGATATTTAAAACACTAGATATTAAAGAAATGTTCGAGGTTGCTAGAATGTGATGAGAAACACTTTTAGGAAGAAATTAAAAAGGGCGAATTTATCTGACATGGTTAGGTTTAGTAATTCTATAGCTCGCAATATCAGTGGCGGATTTATGATTTAGATTTTGTGTGTTCATTTTATTTATACAATGAAAACTTGAAAGAACAATAAATAATTAAACAAGAATTATGCATATATAATAACAAGTTTTTCAAAATTTCAGGTGTTCATAAGTACACCTGTGAGCATATATATATAAGTACACCTTTGAACAAAGTGGCTCCGCGCGCCACTAGCACGCGTAAAACAATCTGTTATTTGGATACACAAGACCCATTTGATAACACTGAAATTGGTTGAATCAGATAAATCTACTGAAATTATGAAATTATGTTTGAAATGACTGCATAAACTGAATTACTGGATAATTATATTTCAAATATAATTTTTTAATTAATTTAATAAAAAAATACATTAGACTAGCTAAAATGGTGTACTGTTCAATAGTAACAAGGTTGAAAACAATTGTCCGAAAAGCTAAAAACAAGGGTTGTCAAACGGGCTCATAGATTAGGGCTATGTTTGATATTTAGAGCAGTAGATGGAGGCTAATATTTGAATTAATGTCTATTACTTGAACTCGAGTCTATTGTGTGGAGTAAGTTGAATTTTGAAATGTTGCATCTAAACTGTTTATTGAATGAGACATCATTGTTTGGCAAAAATAGGTGAAAATGCCCAGATAAAATTAAATCAAATAAGATCAAATCAAATGAAATCATACCAGAAAAATTCAGTTCAATAAAAAAAATGAGTCCTCTAAGATCTTTAGAACTCTATATGAGATTAGAATAAATCTGTTGAAACATTCTACACATTCTAATGTTCTAATATAATTCGAGTACTAACAAGAGCAATAAAGATATTTATAATTAGACTATTGTTTTAGTTTAAACATATACGAATGCTTTTTAGAGTTATTTAAAGGTATTATTTTTTTACCATTTGATAAGTGAAAAGTAATATTTTGAGAATTCTTTGTAAAACATATATGTGTGATATTATGAGCAGTAAAATGCTATTATAAATTACTTTAAAGTACATATAATCCAAATGTAAAACAATTATTATTTCAATTTTAAATACTTATTTTTTATTTTTTTTTCAACTTCAAAGTACATATATTCCAAATGCAAAACAAGTATTGCAATTTTAAAATCTTATTTTTTATTTCTTTTTCAATTTCAAAATATATTATATTAATATTAATGATTTGATTTTAAAAGTTAAAACGGTGTAAACACAATTAAGTAAAAATACATATTTAACAAAAAAAACTAAAAAAACTGAATTCAAAAGAACTTTAAGAAATTAAAAAATTTGGACACCTTCCCATCTACGTTAGAGTATTAAAAAAATGTTTAAGGTTGTTAGAATGTAATGAGAACCATTTTTAATAAAAGAAAATTAAAATGAGTAAAAATATCTTACATGGGTTATGTTTAGTAATTCTAGGGGGCGCATAAAGCAATTCTTTATTTAATACATAAGACCTGTTTAGTAACACTGAACTTGGCTAAATCAGTTTTTTTTTGAAATTATGAAATTCTGGCTGAAATGACTGCATTGGCTGAATCGATCATTGAAATATTATGTTTCAAATGTGATTTGTTAATAAATTTAAGAAAAAATATATGAGGATAGCTAAAATTGTACTCTATACTAAATTCACTCAGAAAATTACTCCACCTTAATTATTTTAATAATTTCACAATTTAGCGCACAAAGTCAAATCTACGTGTTTGGTAAAACAAAATGGCTGATAATCTCAAAACAAGTTGCCAAACGGGCTCATAGATCCTGTCTATGTTTGGCATTTAATTTCGAGCTATATGTGGAGGCTATTGTCCGAATTAAGGTTTATTGTATGGACAAAAGACTGTTGTCTCGACATGAATTTTGAAATGCTGCATATAAACTATTAGTTGAACAAGGTGAATCTATTTGATAAAAAGACCTGACAAACGTTTAGATAATATGACCTGACCAGATCAGATCATACCAAATCAAATCATATTCGACCATAATAGACAAAAAAAAGACATAATCAAATAAATTAGAATATGCATTAGAAACCAATATTATAATCAATTAAATAAGTGATTTTACGTTAATAAACCTAAAAAAGATCATTTTAACCCGTGCATGGCACGGGTAAAGATACTAGTGAAGTATATATCACAATTAGCATATGTGAACGATCAAACTGCGGACAAATAAAAATAGAAATAATCACATAAATATGATCAAAACAAAAATGATTTACAAAAATATGACTAGTTACTAGAGTAGTAATGAAATCATAGTAATTCATTTTCAAGTTTTGAACTTATGTTACCACAACACTGCGTTGTAGTAATGAATAATTAATCATATGAGTTAATTTTCAATATAAGACTAAAAGCCCATCCGGTTACTAAAATAGGACCACTTCCGTTTCTTATGTTTCAGAGGACCAATTTGGGATTCATCTGACAAAAATACCCCTGCGAAATATCCAACGTGGATTAGATCGAATTGAAGACTAAACATCGGGTTTCCAAAAGATGCCGTTGCGCCAAAAATTGATAGAAATGATGGAATATAACTGTGCTTTTAATGCGGGAGAGCGGAAGTTATTCAAAACAAAAATTCCAAAAAAAAAACAAAATCAAAATGCTGGTCGAGTGAAGTGCGAGAAGATACAGAACTGAAGAACAATCGACAGACGAATAAAAGTGACAGTGAAGATGGCAGATGACAACTTCCAACCTGTAAAACCTTCTCCATGGGGTGATGATGTTTGGAAATATAAAATGCAATAAGGTAATTTTCTTTTACCTTACAAGGATATTTAAATCCTACCAGTACAAATTTATTTGATACACAAAAGCTAAAGTCACAAACTTACTAAGTTCTAATTAGAACATGATATACACAATACAAGGTATAAACTATACACTATACGCATATAGTTGCAGGCAAAGCCAAAATCAATGAATAGTGCATGGAAGGCCTATGGTATGGGTACGCATACTGTATCATGAAGATAAAACTAGAGAAAAATAAAAAATAAAAAGGAAATATTAAAGTGTTAGGCGTATAACATAGCGGGGGTAAAAACGGAAGGCAAATGTAAACATGTTTCCAAATATGATTAATATGGTCCTATTTTGGAAAGAAAACATAAGGAGTCCTATTTTAGATTTTTAGACTACTTTTACTCTTATTTAGGGTAAAAACTAATAGTTTTATTTTAGTAATATTCTTGTAAAAAACTCATAAAAATAAACTGAACGTATAAACAAAACTTTATTTACGTGTTATTCTAAAAAAAAGACTTATATTTAATCATATTATAATTTATAATTCCAAACTACAAGTTCATACACCTAAATTCAATAAAAAATAGTGATACTCATATTTTAAAAAAATTATTAAATTTATTTACATTTAGAAACTCTCTCTTGTGTATTTAGTATCGTTGTCTTGTTCCAAAGTTTGAGTTTCAACGACCTCATAGCGACTAGGTCGATATGTTTTGTGGGGAACAAATCAAATTATATATATTTGGTCGTCGGTTACAAATATTCTGGTCATATAAAAATGGTGTTGGATTATTCTATTATTCTGATAATATACATCAAAAAAAGTTAACAGATGACTTTTCGTAAAGGATAACACTCCATCTCTGAGCCTCTAGCATCGACCCAATAATTAAGTAGGAAGATGTAAGTGGAGTTGAATCACAAGCAAATGGATATAGCGAGTGAGACTCTCGCCTAGGCACTTGTAGATGCCCTATACTCTCATAGTATTATATTGTACGTCAGAATTCTTTGGGACACCCTAACTACGAATTGATATACATGGGAGGGGTATATAGTCAAGGGTGTAGCTAGAGGGTGGCCAGCCTAGGCTCTAGCCCATTTCAAATTTCAAAAATGTCTATATTTTTAGTATATAAATTTTGTATATAGTTTTTTTTAAAATATTCTTTGTATCGGTCCAATTCGGTTCAGTGTCCTGACTCCACGCAGGGGAGAATACTTTATGTGCATTGATTGGGGTCCCGGTATAGTTTGGAGTTTTGTTCTCACCCAAAACATGTTGTTCTTCTATATATATACATAGACACCACTCACCAAAACATTTTCGGTCTGATAGAAACAAAACCAACAAACCCACACACCAAAAACACAACAGATCAGATCATAGTATCCTACTTATGATTTGACACCAGAAAATATTATACACAACGTGGAAGCTAATCTCGAAGCAGAGGAAGATCGATGCAAATGAAGAAAGGATCTTCTGCTGATGCTGCTCATGGTCCAACCAAAATCGGATTCAACAAAGATTCCCTCACAAAAATATCCAAACCCAAGCCCAAGATTCGGATTATTCACATTTTCGCCCCAGAGATCATCAAGACCGACGTGCAGAACTTCCGGGAGCTCGTGCAAAGGCTCACCGGAAAGCCGCCGGAGAAGAAGAAGAAACCCGCCGGAGCTCTAAAACGGCTCACCGCGGAACCGGCGAAGAGAGTGGAGCTCCGGGAAGAAGAGATTTGTGGGGGAGGCGGATTCTTGAGCGGTCTGCAGGGTGGGGAATTTGATGGTTTCTTCATGGACGATGACGCCGCCGGCGGCACTCTTAGCAGCCCTTTTCCGGTACTTCCTTTGGACCTTCCGGCGGATAATCCGGCCGGCTACCTAATTTAAACTAATTAAGGTTGGGATTGGCTTCTTTTGACTTCAGCTGTGTTGAGGTTTCAGGATCATGATCGTTGATTGCTTCTTATGATGACTCAGTGTAATTATATTCTTAGCTGTTTTTCTTGAATGTTAATTTGTTAATTAACTTTTAGGGTTTAATTTAGGTAATTATATCTAGTATTAACACCAGATCTAATTAAGCCTATTATTATATTATTGTTATTTTTGTGTGTAGTAGTAGTTGTTAATATATTACGGAGTATTATTATTACTAATGCTATTAGTGAAACTATTACATAGTACGGAGTATTATTTATTTGCTTATTAATATCGTTATTGTTGTCTTGATGATATTTATTAAATTAGTTAGCGTAATATTACGCTCCAAACTCTGTAATAACATACACCGTATGTTACTGTTATGATGTGTTTGAAATATTTCTTTGTTTGATATTCCGTATATAAATTCTTACATGGTATTAAAAATATCGTTTTTAAATGATTGACCATATAACTAACACACAATATACTGTAGTATATTGTAGGTTTGATCAGTTATCAGTACCGCAACTTGGGAAAAATTAAGATTAATTATTTGATCGAGTTGACTTTGCGTAATAATTAATTAATACCGTATATGCCATGAGCTCATGAGTCGACTAAGCTTAATGTTGAGAGTCTCTAGGTGTAAATTAAATAAAACACGTTCATTGGGCAAGAAAAAAAAAATAGCTTCGTCATTCATTTCATCCAATTTTTTTAATTTCTTGAATTACTCTCTGTCTCTAAAAGAATTTGCATTTCACTTTTCGAAAGTCAACTAAAATCACTCTTAAACTCTTACTTTATATATCAAAACTTTATGAAAATTGAATTTTTTTTGTAGGCTTTGTAGCGGTTTTAATGTAGTTTCTGAATATGTAAATTTTATTTACTAAAAATAATCTGAATTTTTATAGGGATCATTTAACTTTATCGTTAGTCAAACTTCGTAACATGCAATTGAAAGAACATTTAGGGATGAGAAAACGTAAATTGATCACTTGTAAAATATTTGTATATTTTTGCACGGGATTTGCACTTCAAATACATATTACCTCCGTTTTTAAATAGATGCAACACTTTGACTTTTGCACTATTCATATGTTCTACTTTGACTACGTTTTATTTATTAATATAATAATATTTTTTATGAAAAAATATTGTTAAACTTGTCTCATTGTAAATTTTAATAATCTAATTTTTTTATTTTTTATTAATACAAAATCATACTCCCTCCGTCCCAAAATTAACTTCCCGTTCGGTTTACGATGCTTGACTGACGATAAAGCAACTCGATCCCTGCTCACACTCGGATTATTTTTAGTAAATAAAATTTACATATTCAGAAACTACATTAAAACCGCTACAAAGCCTGATCAATAAAATTTAAATTTGATAAAAATTTGATATAAAAAGTAAAAGATTACGAGTGATTCAAGTTGACCAATGAATAGTGAATGGGAAGTTATTTTTGGGACGGAGGGAGTATATATTAATGGTCAAAGTTGTGTCTCGGCAAGTGTGAAATCATATCCTTGCAGTTATTGATCAATGCTCTCAATTGAAAGAGAACGATTTTATTCATCAAAATAAAAAGTACAATGCAAGAACACAAATAAAGGAAAAAAAAAAAATTAGCCGTTTCTACGCTCTGATCTTATTCCATTATTCTATTGTTCGAAACTTTATTTTGCACCAAATATTTTAGAGTCTGCTTCAATTCCCCATTCTAGTTGTGTTTATACTTAGACTGCCATATTGATATATGTAGAGTACTCTTCCGGTCCCTCCCTTCCTGACCGGAGCGCCGTCCGGCCTCCTCCTTTTGGGGAGGTTCCCGGTGGTATTTTTTGCTCAAATTTTTTGTGCATGTTCCTCATCAAGTCTAGTTCATCCATACCAAATTTGAGCAAAAAATTCCATCGGGAAAGCCGTCAAATGATTTTTGAAAGTTAAGTGGTCCGGAATATACATATAAAACGCAGTTAACTTTCAAAAATCATTTGACGGCCTTCCCGATGGAATTTTTTGCTCAAATTTGGTATGGATGGACTAGACTTGATGAAGAACATACACAAAAAATTTGAGAAAAGAATACCACCGGGAACCGCCCCAAAAGGAGGAGGCCGGACGGCGCTCCGGTCAGGAAGGGAGGGACATGAATAATCCTCTTGATATGTATTCCATTCTCTTTCTAAATAATTTTTAAAGTCAACTTTTCTTGGTCAGCACAATTTCATTTGATCTACTCCGTACTTATTTAGCATATCAACTTTTTATTATAATTTAGGCGAAATTAACATGAATAATCCCAACTTTTATGCATTCTATAATAATAATATCAATTGAGAGTGTCTATAAAAATAATTTGTATGCACAATAATGTCCATAAGAATAAATTAGAATTAATTCCAAATAATGCCCATTTAATACTCTCAATCCCTATTAAATGAGTTTCACTTTGAATTTGTCCCGAAAAGAAGAGTCGGGGGGGTAAAAGTCAGAGTAAGGATTGTGAGTATTAAAAGGACATTAATTTGAAGTCATTCCAATTTATTATTATGAACACTTTTGGTAGTTCGGATTATTTTTGTAGACAGTGTGAGTAGGACTATTATTGTAGAATCCCTACAAGTAAAGATTATTATGAATTTCACCTATAATTTAGGATGTTTTCTTTTGGGCTGAAAGTTGCTGGTCTGGTCTGATTAACATCTGGTCTCTGTGTATTTTATAATTACGGAAATCAAGTCTGGTCTGATCTGATCTGATCTGATCTGGTCTGGGGCTGAAAACAGTCCAAAAGAAAACATCCTTAATATGCATTAATTTTGTGAGTTTATAGAATTTGTAATGTCAATATGTAAATTTTAATTATTAAAATTGGTATAATTATTTGTAAGAGTGGTTTTACTCTAGCATTAGTGAATTTAATAGTATAACATTAGTCAATATTAAATTTGCGAATTGCGATTCAAATTGGAACAACAAAGTAGTTCTTATATACACATTTTATTTTTTCTTTTTTTCGATTCACGACTTGAATTTGCTGTTTAGCTTCTATCTAAAATCTGGTAAAAGAAAGTTTCTATCTAAAAGACTAAAACACGTCTTATCGTGATATTGCATAGACCAAGTCTATGCGGCAGATAGTGATGCTAAATGAAGGTTTAAGTTGTAACCGTGTAACTGCGTTTTAGAATGTTTTCATTTTGGATTATTTTCAAGGTTTAAATATGTTATTACTCACCGCAAAATTAATTTTTTGTTTTTCATCCCTAACATTTATGTTGGTTTTCTTTTTAGTCCATCACCGATGATAACAACCTCCGTTTGACCTCGAAATAACACCGACTTATAAGTTTCCTCTAATTCTTCATCGTTTTATTCAAAAAGTATTTAATTTTATTTTTTCGAAGGTATTTAATACAAAATTTTAAAATGTGAATAATTAGTTTTGCATTGTTTTAACTCTCATATTAGCCTAAAAATGGTATAAAAGGATAAATTTAAATATTTCTAGTAGATTTATGCAATCGACAATAACTTTTATTCTAAGTAGAGTGATTTCGGAGTTACACATGGACTAAAAACAAAATAGTGCATATTACAAGAATGTAAAACAAAAAAAAAATATTTTTACAGGGACCTGAAACAAAGTATGTCATATTTGCAGGGACTAATGACATATTTAAGCCTATTTTCAATTCAAATTAGGTTAGAACAGATTCAGATAGATCAAATCAGACTTAAATAGATTATACCAGATCAGTAAATTCAGTCTAAAAGAAAACATCCTTATCACTGTAAATATGGCTAATTTTGCTTTAGGTCTATGTGAAATTATTATTTTTGTTTATCATCCATGTACTATGAATCTATGATGCACTATTTTGATTTTAGTCCATTTCTAACTCCAAAATCACTCCACTTAGAAAAAAATTATTGTCATTGTCATAAATCTACTAAAAAAATGTAAATTTATCTTTTTGTAATTGTTTTGAGGCTAATATGAGATTTAAAATAATGTTAAATTAATTATTATCATTTTAAAAATATGTATTAAAAACCTTCTAAAAATAAAATTAAATACTCTTTGAATAGCATACATGATAAAGAATTAGAAAAAACCGGGGTTACTTTGAGGTCAAACATATGTTTTAAATTCTAATCATAAGTGATGGACTGAATATTTTTACGTGGTCTTTTTCAGTCCCAAACCTGACTCAAACAAACCAAACCAGACTTAAACATACTATGTCAGACTAGATTTTCATAGTTATAAAATACACAGAGACCAAACATTTACCGAACCAGACTTAAACAGACCAGACCAGATTAACAAATTTCAATCCAATCAAAAACATCCTAGAAAGAAAACCAACATAAATTTTAGAGATGAAAAACACTGAAATAGTTTTAGAGGGCAGTAAATAAAATGTAAAGGGCCAAATCGGACCTTGTAGTAGTGCCAAACCGTCAAACTATGAATTAAACCCCTTTACTTTGGGAAACCGACATGGGAATTTGAAGACATTTGCACACCAATGAATGCATAAAATTCAAAATCCGAAGAAGATGAAGAATACATTGCATTCGAGGATGAGCAAACATGTATGTAGGAGGGGGGAGCTAGAACGATGAGAAGAACGGTCAGAACCATGTTTCTCAGGCTGAGGTTAATGATGACGAACAATGCAATGAGTACTATGACTCAGACGAATCTCCCAGGTCTAAATCATAAACCGAAGAAGATGTTGACCTTTCTGAAGTTCACTCTAAAAGTAAAGGCAAATGAAAGAAGAACTTGAAACATCTGTCCTATAAACCACAATCCAAATTTAAAAAATATAGAGGTAGAGATATTATTTGATGATGGAAGGCAGTTTAAGAGTGCATTGATTGGCTACACAGTGCATAAGAAAAGAGATATCAGATGGATAAATAATGAGACTCAAAGAGTTCAAGCAAGCTGTGCGGGTTAATGTCCTTTTAAATGCACGGCATCTTAGGGCAATCAGTACAAATACTTCCAACTGAAGACGTGGGTTGATAAGCACCGATGTAATAAAAAATTCAAACTCAAGATGGTGAGTCAGGCGTGGCTAGAAGAGAGATATAAAAATAAAATCAGAGAAAATTGTTGGAATGGGCCGGGAAGATTGAGCTACAAAAAGCAATATGCAATGAGTTGAAGATAAATGTATGTAAACATTTCCAAAGTTAAGAGGGCGATAAGAAATGTGTTGAAAAAGGTGAATGCATCTTTCGGGCGGGGG